TATCTTGAACTTTTCTGTAAGATATTTTTTCTCATGTAATTCGACAAGCTCTATCCAAAAATAACGAACAAAATCTCTTGAAATTTTAATTATTGTCTACGTTATATACATTGTGAATACCTTAAAAGTTGAATATCGCAGTCTAGACACGCCAATAGTAGTCTATATTTTAAATTTATTAGTTTGCCAGTAAAAGCTTTAATTTGATCCGAATATATCTGATCTTATTAACTAATAAAAATCATGAAGTTGACTCTCTTTAAGAATCAAGTCGACATTGAAAGAGTATACAATAAATCTTTTGTGTATAATAAGATTAAAAAGTGAATTAACTTCTTCTCTTATTTATCTCATATTGAGGTATCCTTTATTTTATCTAAGAACTGACGATATTGATTGTTCAATATAATGTACTTGGTGCTTAAGAGGTACCATACTTATCGAGGGTGTAGATGGGTGTGGTTGTAGATAGAACACACACCCACACTCACACCCTGCAAGCAAAGAACAAAACAAGATGGATTTTGAATTGTTACCTAATGAAATTTTACTTGATTTATTCGATTATTTTGATGGTATTGATCTTCTTCGTGCATTTTATAGTCTCAATTATCGATTTAATGATCTTCTCTACAATCAATTTCGATTGTATCGCTTTAACTTTTCTTCTATTTCTAAACGTGATTTTGATATGATATATCAACAACACTTATCATTTTATTACTGAACGAGTTATTTCTCTTAGTCTTACTGACAATTATGATATCCCTGAACAAGCTAACTTCTTTCTTTCTTATATCCCACCATTCAATCACTTCACTCACTTACAATTACTTTCGGTGGAAGGTTTTCGTTCGTGCTGAACATTAATGAAAATCTTGGATGAATATGATCATTCATGTAATCTCACTTATTTAACAATTAATTCCTATAATTGTGGTGCCAATCAAAGTGAATATCAATCAATGATCAACAGCATTTGAAGTTTACCGAAACTTATTAAATGTAGTTTCAATACCTACGTCCTAGCACATACGGCTTTTCAAATGCCAACAAACATCCCTTCATCATTTGAAAGTGTATCTATACCTAGTCGTGGACCTGAATTAAATCAACTACGTACATTGATTGAATGTACTCCTTGTCTTAATAGACTTCATGTATATCTTGACTTGTCTAGTTATAACAACTATATACCATTGACTCCTTCAACATTAATCGACTTGAAACTGGACAGTAGCCATGTGTCTGCCGTTTCATTAATGAAATTCCTTTAAAGCACACCAATTTATTCCGTTTGAGTATCAGCTTATCCTTTAGCTCAATTAACGGATATGAATGGGAAGAAATCATTTGTAATTATTTGCCTAAACTTCAAGTACTTCGACTTCAGATGAAACAGAGAACATTTGGTTTATCTGAAAATATAATACAAGAACGTGCTGATAAATTACTTAAGTCATTTCAAACTTCATTTTGGACTAATCAACATCAATGGTTTGTTCGATGTTTTATAGAATACCAAACTATTTATCTCTTCACTCTATCTAAAACATTAAATTACGACGAGCTTGATCTTTCTCATTCATTGAAATCGACTGATCCCCATTATGATCATCAAGAGTTTTATAATAGCATCACTTCTATACAGAATTACAGATTGTTTGATCAACCAACTTCATCCTACATTCGTCTTCCTAATATCAAAGATCTTAGGATAAAACTTCCTCTTAATGATCAGTTTTGGTCTATTGTTCCAAGTTTGAATATACTGGAAACACTTGTAGTCTATTCACATGCTGATAGTTTTCAATCTCAGTTGCAAGTTTTACTTGATCGTGCACCTAACCTTCGCTGTCTAGATATCCGTCAAGATGAATCATTATCTTTACAAATGTCATTATTCCAGTATAGAACCTCATCAGTTCGTCAACTCGATTTCCGAGGTTATAATTATTATGTCAATGAAGAAGAATGTATTAGATTATGTCATTCACCATTATGTATTCAATGTGGAGTTCTTTTTATCAGAATTAAGAGTCGTCATAGTACCATTTATCTTGTCAAAAATATGATAAATCTTCGATCATTACATGTTAAACGTGACGATGAAAAGTATCATAAACGATTAGCAACAGCAAAGAATAATAATGACAAATATCGTGATGGAAACGTAGAAAATGAAGAGGAACTTATTGATTGGTTAAAAGATTGTTTACCATCGACGTGTTTATTCTCAAAAAATGCACATTTTCCTAGTGACATTGTAATATGGATTTGATGATAACAAAGAAAAGTGAACTTATCATTTAATCCGGAACATACATTATCTTTTAATAATACTATTCAAGAATAACCATTTTGTGGGACTCACATATATTTTCGAAGAAAATAGTGAGTGTAAGTTTTCAGTTCAAGTTTTCGCAGTTTTTCCCACACCCTCTCCATTACAGACCTCCCCCTCCCCATTATAGACCTTAGCAATTAAAAATAACAGACGTTAGACTTTCTAGCTTTTTTCAAAAGATTGATCAAGTTATGATTTTGAAAGATAATCAACATCATTGTTTGTGAGCTGATTAGCATATACAATAGTGCATAAGATCTTCTGTAGATATCATGAATATATAAAACAGATTTATTCGCCAATTAATTCAATGATTATAATAATAAGAATGTTAAGTTACGAAAAACGATTTAAAATAAAAAAAAATGAAAGATAATGAGCGAATAGCAACAATGCAAAATAAAAATAGGACGCTCTCAGATAAAAAAAATTTTCTGTTTTAAATGTAGACATAAATAACAAAGTCTTGCTCTTATCATTGATTATCAATGAAAACGATTACAGTGTACACGAAATTTTTCAGTTTACATATGATGCATTAGAATATTAAGGCTTAAGGATATATGTGAGTTCCACATTTCAGCTCCAAAGGAGCTGCGCTAATAAGCTTTTTCATTGTTTTTTTTTGTATTATTAACATTATTCTGCTTCATAAAAATAAAATTATCAAACATAATTAAGGTGATCTAATCAAGATTTGCAGTTTAGCACGCATTTGGTGGATGAACTGACTCTTTTTTATGTCATAGAAGTATTAATTAAAGAATTGTCTGAGAATTGATTTGAAATTAACAAAATAGCCATTGTATTAAAGAATGGTATGGGAAATTTGTGCAATCGCTAATTATCATGGTTCAGATTTCGTCTCAACAAAGAGAATCATCAGATGGTTTGGAGAAAGAGTTAAATTTATTTTGTTTTACAGTTCTTAAAAAGAATAAAACTTTGACATGTTGAGGATGTGGGTGTTAATCTTCAATTTATCCAAATCCACACTCACACCCAAAATTGAAGATGATGAAGAAAATTCTAATGACAACTCATCTGATAATGAAAGAATGTCTGTTAAAAAAAAACGAGTTATGAAAACATATTTCAATATATATGAAAAGAAAAAATTAAATAGAACTTCTAAAACATAATATTATTTACTTTGACTGGGTGCCATTTTGTGAAACACGATCTGAAAGAAATGTTGAAGTGTTTAGGGGCAGAAACTTGCACCCACCCCCCTCTCCTTCACAGATCCTGACAGAGAAAACTCAGTATCCATTACAGAAATAGATAAACCTGTTCTTATATGAACTACAATTAAACGTCACTAGAATTTCATGGAAATATGTCAATTGCTTCCTTATTGCAGCTCCAGAGGAATTTATAAACAATGATTTATTAACGGATCCGAAGATATCGAAGAAAACATTCAGATGATTAGTAACAACAGCTGCACTGTGTTTCACATTTTAATCCTGAAGGGATTGCGCTAACAGCTTTTTTATCATAAAGTCAAAGATATCTTTATATATATAGTTTGGATGTGAGTGGATATGGTTGAAATCAACATTCTAACACTCAAACATCCACACCCACACTCTAATTAAGTTCAATCTACTGATATGCATGGATAATATGAATGATTGAATATATATCCATGTATATTAATGATGATTAAAACTTAATTAATATCAACGATACAAAGTCTATGCGAGAACAAAGAGAGAGAGAGAAAATTCTCTCTCTTTCAAATGAGTATAGATACTCATGTTTTTTCAATGAAATTTCATTCCAATATTCGAAATAAATACTATTCTGTTTTCTCCCTATTTTAGGTTGATCTTCAACCAAATAACAACCACAAGCAAAATTACACCAAAATAAAAATTGTGAATGTCGTTTTGAACTTTTTTTTCATTTCATATTTATATACTCATCGAGATCATTTGAGATAAATAATTATAGAATGACTCACTTAATTTTACTAGTATTTTATTCATCTCGTTGTATTTCTACGAAACATCAAAGATTTTTTTTTAAATTTTTATATGGTTTGATACTACAATTGATTACTTTATCTAATAAATAGTGTTCAGTTGATGTATGTTGCATGTATTGATAAGAAAATAAAAAAATTCTATCGCCCAATAAATGCAAGTTTCGCACAAACTAGTAAAACTAATAATTCAAAAAGAGAATTTAAAATATTCAATAAAAGATTTTTCGAAAATTATTGATTTGTTTTGTAAAACTGAAATATGTGCATATATTTGATCAAGTATAAAATGTATGAATACAAATAAATGAGTTGTCTAATAATTGATAATTGTTTGGACTAATTGAAGAGAACATCTGAAAATTTAACAGAAAAAACGATTTATTTTATGTGCGCTTCTTGAAACTCATTAAGGTTTTGATGTATCCTAACTAAATCAAATGAAAATATTTAATTAGATAGAACAGTCGATGCTCTATCAGATGCTATACATAAATAAAGAACTTCTGATGTTTTGTATAAAAATTCAGCAAACCAAAAAAAAACTATTAAAATTAAATGAAACATTTTCTACTCATCGCTTGATCTCTTTGATCAAATTTTTCTCTTGCTTTTAATTTCAAGTCAGTAATTGTATTTCTATTTCAGGTCTCATCTAGGTGAGTTCTGATTTCTTTTTTACATAATTTTACAATTATTAATATAATTCTTCTTTTCTTTTTAGATTCATAGCATCGCATCCACTACAATGTAGGTACGTCCATTTTTGTACTTTAACTGATCTTCTATTTTACCTCCAAAGTTTTAAAAGGGGATTTCCGCTATGGAGAAATAGCGGGTTATTCATTTATAAAATCTTATCTTGTCTTCCGGATTGACCGTAAACACCGACTAGGAACGTTGTCAGATAGTTCAGGGTCGCACGCGAACGCGTGTGAATACAATAGAAACGGGGAGTGTAAAGCAATTGAATCACATTTGTTGAAAGATAAAGAAAAAAATAGCATTCGCATAGTGTTTTAAGCATTTGAGGCAATGTTAAATTTTTGCACTCGATGATTATAGCGATCGACGACATAGAGATTGCCATGTTGATCGAATGATAAACCAAAGGGCCAATTGAGTTGATTCGATTCTCCCCCTTGGCCATTTCCACCAATAATGACACTTCCTTGTGTGGCTCTTTTGGGCCAACGCATGATTCGATCATTTCCTGCATCAGCCACATAGACAGTGCCTAATTGATCGACAACGAATCCTCGAGCATATGACAATTGTGTATGACCATTTCCTCGTCCTTGGCCGCCAGCCACAATAATGCCTTGTGTTGCATCTTTCGACCATTTCATCACACGATGATTGTTCCAATCAGATACGTACACTGAATGATCTCGATCGACGAATACGTATGTTGGTTCATCGAGTTGATCGAGACGATTTCCACTTCCAATGCCACCTGCAACCACTGTTCCTTCCGATTCTCCTCTTCGATATCGTCTCACTTCATGTTTTCCTTTGTCAACGACATAGAGAAATCCATTCTCGCCCATTGTCAAAGCCACACAAGTGATGTTGGAGATGATTATTTCTCCATTTGTTCCATTTCGACGAGGCCATCGAACCACTCTGTTATTCCAACCATCGCATATGATTAGACTATCTGTCTCTTTGTCAACAATCACATCATATGGGTAAGACAATTGATGATCTCTACTTCCTTGTCCATTTCCACCAGCAACTACTTGGCCATTCGTCATATCTCTTTTCCATTCCATAATACGATGATTGTTGGGATCAGCAACATAGATTGTTTGTTCATCATCCACAAACAAACCCCATGGATTGTCGAGTTGATCGGTTCCATAGCCATTTTCCTTTCTTCCAGCTACTGTAATACCATTTTGTTTCCAGCAAGCATTTGGCTGAATGTCAATGGCACTTCCACGTAATGGATGAACTGAAATAGAGGGAGAAACGAGAGAACCATTTGATAACGTAAGAGAGAAAGGAAAAAGTGAAAAGTCCATTTAAATTATTATAAAATCAATATCGTTCCAAGTTCTGATTCATTGTCAAATTTCTCTTCTTAATGGGTGTTTTCTTTGTCTTTTTTTTTGAAGAAGGTAACACTATCAAAAAGTTATTTACTTCGCTTCTCGTTTTGACTTTCTTTATTACTAAATTCGTCATCAAATAACTATTAATACCGGGTGTACCAAAAGTTTGGCGACATTAGGTATTTTTCAAATATTTCAATAGAGATCAGTCGTGTAATCTTGATCCTTTTTTAAAATATGCGCCATGAAAAACTCTACAAAACTGTAAGAACAAATTTCTATTGAGTATTTCTGATGATGTCTCTTATACTCAAAATGAATACGTCTCATAATAGTTCAATATTCCAGAGAATGAAGTATTTGAATGACTATTTTTGTTTTGTAATTAGAACTTGGTCATACAGATTTTATGGAGAGTGTGGGTATGGGATAGAAAACATTGAAATTTCACATTCTTTTATCAACTAATAGATAGAACGAGAAAGAACCTCGAAGAATATGAGTACTTCAAAAAAAAATTAAAAAGAAAAATCTTCATTATATTCATGTAGATTTTAATAAAACCTTTCCTTTAAAGATATATTATCAGATATTAGCAACTCTATTAAAAATATTCAATTATTTATTATACTCCTTTCCTTTTTAATTTCAAAAGCATTTGGAAATGTTTGTAGACAGATTAAGTAAGAGATAATAAAAAGCTCATATTTCTACACGAATTGTCAAAAAAAAACTAAGACTATTAGAAATTGAAGCTATTTTATTTATTTTTTTATGTCTTCCTTTTCTTGTGTTCGTTAAATGTATGCTAAAGAATTTCTGTCTTTTTTTTCTCATCTTCATATCATTTCTCTACAGAATGTTAAGCTCATTACAAATTCATTTAT